AGGAAGCTAGGCGGATATAATTAAAAAACTTTATATTATTAAATAATTTAAAATAAAAAAACGTTTTTAAACAATATAACTGTTTAAAAAACGATTTACGGCCCTTTATGGAAGCTAATAATCTTTAACGGACTATAAATAGTATTTTCGTAAATATTAATATAAAGTAAAGGTATAGAATAACGATCCGGTATTTATTAATAAGGTCGTTACCGTATAAAGAAGAAGTAAAAAAGATAAATATTTTTAAATTATAATATATTAAAAAGATATTTAGGTAATAGTATTAATAAACGGAAATATAAAAATAAATTTAATTTCGTTATAGTTTATATATTAGGCTAGGATATTATAGAAAAAAAAAAGGAATGGATCGTTATATAAAAATTATTTCCGATATAAAAAGTTTATAGAAAAATATTATTTTTAAATATTATAATCGAAAGAAAAATAATTTTAATTATATTTAATATTATAGATATAGGACCTTCGAAGAATATAATTTTAAAGTAACTATAGTATAAAAATTATAATTTAGATATCGATTAGAGGGATAGTAGCTATTTATAACTAAAAGAGCTTTAAAAGTATTTAATTAACGATAGGAGATTAGGCGTACGTATAGAGTAGAGTATGGGACAAATATCCTCCACGGTACTACCGCAAGGAGCCTAAAAAGTAATAATATACTTTATTAATATAAATAGTAAGATCGAAGAAATAAGGTTAATAACGTTAGTAGAGATATCGGAAATTAATAAATATATTTACTATAATAATATAGAGAAAGGCGAGAAAAAAGTAATATTAATAGAATATTAAGGATACTTAACTTTTATAGTTAAATATTTAAAGGGACTTCTAGAGCGAGGATTATAGGACTATAAAATTAAATTAAAGGAAGGAACTAAATTATAGCTATTTAAGGTTTATTATATTAATAATAAGTAAAATAAAAAATTATAAAAGTATTTAAATAAAAATTTAAAAAAAAAGATATATTAAAGAGTCTATATCGCTAATAAAATACTCTATATTTTTCGTACTAAAAAAGGACGGAGGTTAATAATTATATATAGATTATTATTAATTAAATAACGAAACGGTAAAACATAATTATTTATTATTATTAATATTTAAGTTACGGGAATTATTAACTAAAGTAATATATTTTATACGCTTAAATATACCTATCGGGGAAACCTATAA